GAAGGGCGGCCATCCTGTGCTCTCTGTCCTTTATGCTGCTGTCCACCTCCAAGGTGCCCGGGTGTGCTTCTCAAGTGTGTCCATGCAGTGCTGTCCCTGAAGGTGGGCTATGTCACGTCCTGTCCTGGGAAAGGACTGATCTGTTTGCTGTCAGACTGAGGGATGAGCTAGCGCGTGGTCTGAGCCTTGGGCTGGCTGGTTTTGGAGCTCACTCTGCAGCTGCCACACAAGCAGCCTTCCTGGCCCCAGAGAAAAAACAAGCACTTAATGAAGTTGTCTAGCCAGCTTGGAAGAAGCATACAGCGCGTTTGTGCTGGGTGGTTGGTGCTCCGCATTCCCGAGTGTGTGTTTTAACAGTGACTTCAGCTTCACTAACTGGAAATGTTAGAAGAGAGAAGACTAAAAATATGGAAATCATGTGCAACGGTTCCCTGTGGCTAGAGGCAGCCTGTCTGCTTGATGGGCCTGAGCCCGCCTCTGTCCCTGCGTGTAACCAAGCAGGATCTGCTGTGTGGCTGTGTCACTGTGTCCCCGCATGGTACTGGAACCTCCTCAGTGGCTATCGCTCTGTGTATTCTCCATAGAAAGGTTCTTGGTCAGGTTTTTCCTGCTGGTTAAAATCAGTCTTTAAAAATGAGTTTTGGCAGTGATCTGAATGTCTCGTCCTAGGGTTGGGGAGATAGCTCAGTAGAATAAGCGCTTGCCTGGCAAGCGCAAGGGCCTGAGTTCAATCCCTGGTTCCACTAAAATAGATAAATCATTTGTCATAGGCACTGAGGTGTGGGTGTTCTTGCATGACCCTGGTGTAGAGAGCCTGTGGGACAGGTCCCATCCCCCGCTGGCACCCGCAGGCCCCGCCTTGGTCCTCTACAGTGGCCTGCAGCTCTCTGTCTTGCAGATGGAACCACACTGTTGCTGGGCACAGGAGGTTACCACATAGGATGGGTGAGGGGACAGGGTGGGGGTTCTCAGAACCACAACCGCCCACGTCCGGTCTGTCTGCTGTCTGTAAATATTTGTCACTTTAAGGGATGGAAGTATTGGGGTTTTATTTTAGTTTTCATTATGACTTTATTTATTTGATACAAGGTCTTGCTCTGCAGCTTGGACTCGGAGTTTTCCTGCTGTTTCAGCCTCCCCAGTGCTGGGATTACAGGCATGTACCACCATGCCCAGTTTCAGGGCCAGCATGGTACTGGGGATTGAACCGGGTCCTTGTACTTGCTAGGAGGCATTTAGGACACTGGGCTATCTCCCAGACCCTAGTTTGTTTGTTTGTTTCTTTCTTTCTTTCTTCATTTGGTACAGGGTCTCACTAGGGAGCTTGGACTTGTAGTGATCTTCCTGTCTCAGCCTCCCCAGCACTGGTATTATAGGCGTATGCTACGATGCCCAGGTTCAGTGGCCAGCATGGCATGCGGTACTGGGAACGAACTGGGGATGCTGCGCTTACCAGGCAGGTACTTAGACCACTGAGCTATCTCCCCATGCCCTCGTCACTATTTATTAAAGATCATCAGAAACAGTTTTTTCCTCTGGTCTTGTCTGAGTGTTTAAAACATTCTGTAATCACTGTAACTTCCGATAAGTGTTATGGTAAGAGTTTGGGTGACTTTAAAGAGTCCATACTGTGGAAGCTGCAGTACAGTGCTTCCTGCTGCAGGCCACACCAGCTCCCCTCACTGAGCCACTGACATGCCCTCGGGATTGGCTTCTGCACACAAGCCAAGTACCATGGGCCTCTGGGCGGGAGCCGTACTTCTTCTGAACACTAAGTGGGTCTTTGCTCCCTGTCATATCAGTGGCAGCCTTACTGTTTTTAACAGCTGCACTGAATTCCATCCTGTACCATGATGAGTGTGCAAGGAGATTCACACGTGCACATCAGACACCAGATGCTTGGAGGCTTATGGCAGGGCTTCTGGCTAAACCTGCTGTAAAATGGAAAATGCTAGATGAATACTGCGTGCAGCTCAGCAGCTTGTACCCACTGTTGTCCCTGGGAGTGTGAGGCTGACCCAGAGCTTTGGGTATGGTTGCTGCCCAGCATCTTTGCAGAGGGTCTTTCTGTATGTCAGCAGCTGGGAAGAGATCAAAGCTCACAGTTGAAAGTGTTCCCAATTCTTTTTTTTGTTATTGTTGTTGAAAAACTGGGAATTGAACTCAAGCCCTTGCTCTTGCCAGCAAGTGCTTATTCTACTGAGCCATCTCTCCGGCCCCAGTGTTCGCAGTTCTGCTGAATGTGTATCCCTTTTGTGTGTCACTGTAAAGTAGAAGAAGCATTAAGTCGAGCCGCAGTGATTAGGACTGTGTGTACATTCATGTATACAGTGACTGGGGTCTCAAGGTGTCCTGCTGGCTGGATCTGGGAGCAGGACTACAGGAAGAAAGCTTGGGCATGGCCCCTGGGCAGGTGCATGCGCCCCACTCAGCAGTACCCCACTTGTTCTCTGCCCCGTCCCGTGGGGACTGCCTAGCACTGTGATGGTGGGTCACTGTCAGTGCTGCTGCCGCTGCTGGGCCCTGTAGCATACAGCTCTCGCTCGGTGCCTCCCACCTGCTTCTGGGTCGGTGGGTGGGCTGAGCAGAGGGTATGGCAGCCCCTCGGGGCCCCAGCCGTGCTGCCTGGCGGCGGTGTCCCTAAGCCTGTTAGTTCCCAGAGTGTCTGGAGTGAACCAGGGCTGGTGGAGGCCATGGTCACTGCAGGGGGGGTGGATGTGCCACCAGCTGTGAACTTTGCCAAGATTTTTTAGTGAGGTGGCTGTAACTGTCTGCACCTCATGGGTGGAGAGAGTCAGTCACAGCTAGTTGTTTAGTAGGTGGTGCATTTAGGCTCGTTACGTAGACTAATTTCAGTTCTTCATAACAGCCAAACAGTGTAGGTAGTTTGTCCACTTTTTGAATGAAGAGCCAGGCCCGGAGAGCCCAGTAACTTCCCCAAGAACACCCAGCTTGGAGCAATGGACCTGGCGCTCTGGTGGCTATGCCCCAGAGCCCCTGCTTTGCCTCCTTGCACTTCCAGAAGATGCCAGGAGCGGCTGGCAGCTTCTGCTTGGAAGGCACGGGCAGGCGGAGGCAGAAGGAGGCCCTGCTGCTGCTGTCAACAGTCACGGACAGCCGCGCTGCAGCTCTCTGCTTCGCCCCATGCTCCTGGGAGTGCTTGGTAGGTCTTTTTTCACATGAGGACCATCTTTTTTGACCAGGCCATGAAATGTTCTTTTCGTGTGTTGCAGGACTATAGGAGCTGGGAGTGCAGGCACAGCAGAGGTGGGTAATTAACACAGCAGGCTGTGTTTTGCATTCTTGGTCAGTGGGATAACTAATTATAACTTGTGGGGTTTTACTTTAAGGAAGTAGAAGAAAGCGGTCTGCACGAAGAGGAAGAGCAGTCAGTAGCTGCGGCCCCGATGGGTCACCCAAGAAGTGGGAAGTGTGGCTCAGAGCTGGGGCCGAGGCCGCAGGTCAGAGGCGAGGCACTGACCTGGCCAGGAGGCGCGGGCGCAGCTCAGGCCTGGAAGACCCCTGGGAGCCAGGCACACAGGACCTGCTTTGCCCTGCTCCCATCTGTTCCTGCGGTGAGGTGGTGGCAGATGCAGCACCACTTGTCCAGGCACCTCTGGGCCCTCCCTTACTGAAGTGATGAGGGTTTAACTATTCCAAAGGGGAAAATTTTCAGCTTCAAAATTCTTGACATTTGCTATTTATCAAACATACCTTTTTGGGAACCCCTTTTCCCGTTGAAGTGTTTCTGGTCCCATCTGCAGGCAGCTATCCTGTCCTTGCCCAATTTGAGTGGGTCCCTGTGGGGCTCTCAGATTCCCACCACATATAGGACTTGTCATCTGGTGGCCCGGTGATGGCACCTAGTGCCTACTGCATTTCAGTGGGAATAGCAATCCTGGGTGTGGCAGGCCTCTACTGCTCACAGGAAGACATATGGGCTTATACAACTGGTCCTGAGGGGCAGCCACTGACTGGGATTTTGAATGGGTCTCTGGCAGCCGCAGGTTGGAGCTGATGACTGGTGATCATTGGCATATGCTGCCCATTTGTTGGCGCCAAGCGTTGTAGGAAGGAAAGGGGCAGGAAGTCAGCATGTCCCCTGGGCCTCCAGAAGGGCGCCTTGCTCAGCTGCCTTCAGGAGAAAATGGTGGCTGAGTATGCTAGGAGACCAGCAGCAGTCCTTCCTGCCAGCCTGATCAGGGCCACAGTGTCACTCTGGCCACCTTCCTACCAGCCTCCAGTCCTGCACCAGCCTTAAACGTTGCCAAGCTGATTAGATAAATCTTCTTGATTCTACCAGTAGTTATGTGGCCAGGCTCAGTGACCCATTTGGAGGACTCTGTCCCACACTTCATGGGGTGACATTCAAGAAACCTTGCTTCTCCTTGGCAGACTTCTCTCTCTTTGGCTTAAAACTCGCAGAAAGCAAAGTGTAACCTGAGATGGAGCTCCATGGCAGAATGTCACCCACCCCAGGGGAGGCTCTGGGCCTAGTGCAGACCCGGGGAATGGAGGAAGAGCTTTGTTCAGTTCTTGGAAGTATGGCCCAGTGTGGCTGGCCAGGAAGATGAATTGTGGAAGATTCCTATCTGAAATTAATAGGCAATCAGACAGTGCTTTTCGGTACCTGAACTCTGCTGCCCACACGCGGGTTCTCGTTTTAAGGCCGATTTGGTTTTTCAGGGAGGCAGCTGTGAACGGGGCCCCACACCCCACCCCACCCTACAAACCCTACTCCCTTTCCCCCTGGCCATGCCCCGCCCCGTGGTTGGTAGCTGTACTTCCCCTTCCCTTTGTCAGACACTGGCTGGGTCTGGGCACCTCACTTCTTGGTGCTAGGGAAGGAAGTTGTCTTCTGGGTCCAGAATTTTAAAAAAAAATGACAAGAATTTATTTTCAGTATCTTTCCAGAAGTGATGGCCAAGGGTTCATGAACTGGGTTCATGAACTCAGGGCAGGAATTTGAGGACTTACCACTTGTCTCCCATTCTTTTCAGAGTAGAGGTTTCTGAGGACTCCAGGCCAGAAGAGGGTGGAAAGCCTCCCGCAGCACAAGGAACAGGTAAGTCACCTCATCCTGGTGCATCCTCCGATGCTTCTCAGGGTGGATGCCCATCTGGCAGGCAGTGGGGTGCTTCCTGCACATTCTGTGGGGCAGGGGCAGAGACTTGTGCCATCCCCCGGAGGACAGTGGCCTGGCCTGGAGGCTCTGGTGGCCTTTCTTCTCTTCTCCTCCCATTTCCTTTTCCTGACTTTCCTCCTCTTGTCACTTGTGCCCAACTCTCCTTGCTCCTAGGAGGGCAGCACAGCTGCCTGGCTGCTCAGGGCATCATGGCTGCTAGTAAAGTGGCAGCAACTTTGCTTTTCTCCTGTGAGGGGTGAAGAGAAGTAGTTGGTGAAATACTGTGTAAGAAAAGGGCTCGGACATCACTCATAGGACGTGGGTGGTTTCATGCTTCATCCTACTTACCCCAAGCAGTATGGTTAGAGTATTAGAGCAAAGCAAGGTCACCAGCATGATGGAGAGAAAAGAAAGCAAAGGCCCATCTTTGCTCTCCACTTTCGTGACTCTCTGGTTGGGGAGCAGGATTGTTTGCTGGCTCTGAGAAGGTGCACACACCTGGTGACACTCCCACCACGGGAGCCTGGCCATGGGCAACCATGGCAAGAGTGCCTGGTGTTGCTGTGTGATTCCGACAGGGTGGCTCAGCCCCGGGGTACCTCGCACACTGGATGTGCAGCGGCTGGCTGTGCACCTTTTGAAAAAATAAATTACCAGGTATGTTGGATGGGGGCTACTTTTCTTACCAGTTTGTGAGAGCACTTTATGAGGAGTTCTAGCACTTGAATTATAAGCTTCATATTCCTTGGATCTCTCTTCTCGCTAAGATCATTTGTCTTTGACTTTTGCTGCTTTATTTTAAAGAAATGTCTTGGAACATTCAGCTGTAGATGCTCGTAGGCACAGCAGCGCACTGTGCACTGTGTTAGTAGTAAGCATTTGTTCCGTGGGTGAACCAGGGAGGCTGGCTCTCAGGTGTGTTCCAGAATATGCAGCACTTTTCCTTTCCTGCATACAAGGTGAAGGCTGTGCTAGGGAATGTCATCTAACCAGGGATGCTTCAGCATGCAGAAGAATGACACCAATATGTCGTGACATCAGCCAGTTCCCTCTGAACCTTTTTTTTTTTTTTTTAATGAGCAGAATATATTTATTGAGGGAAAGAAAGCTCCTGTCCAAGAGAGGGACAGGAGGGGCGCCCTGAGCGGGTTGTACTCTGGGAAGCTGTCTCTTCCAGGGACTTTAAAACCATGCGGGGCTAAGGTGGAGAAAGGGGGAACTCGCTTAGGTGGGTGTGGGGTGGGACAAAACTATGGTCAACCAGTGAGATTACAAGCACCATTGCTCAGGTAAAATTGATTATGCCCAGGACCAAATGGGGAAGTGAGTCACAGACTAAGCGTTCATGAATGTGAGACAGGGTTTCTTCCTGTTGGGGGTTGGAATACGGAACATGGTCAGTTGGGCTAGTGACTCACTTGGGTCTTTCTAGGTGATTGACACCTATTTAGAATATCAATCCCAGGTGTTACTCTTTTAGCATTTGTTTGGCCTTTAGGTCTTTAGGTTCCCTCTGAATTTTTGGGGAACTGGCTTTAGTGTCCCATAGTTGAGCTATCAGTTGGTGTTTGTTTGTTTTTACCTGCTTTTGTTTTTGTTTGTTTTTTTAATTTAAGATTGGGCATGGTGGCACATGCCTGTATTCCCAGCTCTTGGGAGCCTGTAAACAGGCAGGTTACTAAGTGTCCAATCTAGTAGTAAGACCCTGAGCACCCTGTAGACCCTTAAAATACAAAAAAAGAAAAAGAAAAGAAACTTAAGAGAGTACAAAATAGTACTGAAACAGAAAGGTTACAAATGATACAGAATTTCACTAAACAGTATAATTTAAGTTTCACAGTATTTGTTGTAATGCATAGTGCTGGACAACTGTATTGTGGATTTTTACTGGTTTATGGCAAGGAGCAGTTAATGCTTAATTTGTTTTTTCTCCTTTTTTTCAGTTCTTCATCCTTTTTCTCTTTAATTTCTTTCTTTCTTTCTTTCTTTCTTTTTTTTTTTTTGGAGTAGGGTGGAACGGAGGATTGAACTCAGGCCCTTGTGCTTGCCAGGGAAGCGCTTATTCTACTGAGCTATCTCCCCAGCCCCTCTCTTTAGTTTCTTATGTATTTTTTTTTTTCTTTCTTCCAATATGGCATGTGTGTATCTCGTAATATGAACAACTAATTTGAAGACAACACTTTTTTTTTTCCTGTTTTTGGATTACAGTGAGACCCGAACTTATGAATTAATTCCTTTTTAAGAGAATATGTATTAGTCAGATTTGTTCTTCTAAGTCCGACAAAGTGAGTCTTATATGGTGCATCTGTGAAAGTTTGTGACTTGAATGTTCAGAAGTTGGGGACTCACTGTACTGGGGACTGAAACTAGATCTTCACACTGGGCTACATTCCCACCCCTTTTTCACTTTGTATTTTGAGACAGGGTTTTGCTCACTGAGTTGCCCACATTGGCCTCAAACTTAGGATTCTTCTGCCTCGGCCCCCAGAGTGCTGGGCCGTGTGCCACCACGCTCAACTGAGGCATCAGTTTTTAAGGAATATGGGCTGGGGAGATAGCTCAGTGGCATAAGTGCCTGCCTGGCAAGCATAAGGTCCTGAGTTTGATCCCTGGTGCCCCCCCCCAATTTATTTTTAATGAATAAGTGGATTTTTGTCTTATAAAAGCCATATAAAAACATAACTCACTGTTTAAAATACAGGTATTATAAGGAGTGTTTCTTGGCCATACCCTCCCACAGGTAACCCATCAGCAGTTGGGCATGTGTCAGAGCTCACATATGTTGATGCCTGCATGTCCGCATGTGTATGTGTGTGCCCACTTCTGTGTTTTGGGTGTGTGTGTGTGTGTGTGTGTGTCTGTGTCCATGTACATCTGTGTCCTTAGGCCATCTGTCAGTACCCCTCACCTCTGCTGTATGTAGACAGGCGGCCTCACCGCACAGCTTAGGGCTGAGTCCTGGGCTCTGCAGCTGCTTCTTGCGAAGGGCCCGAGGTGAGTCTGTGGCTGTCCCTGCGCACTGGCCCCACCCCGCCCCTGCCTGCTGACTGCCCCTAGCTAGCAGCCACCCCCAGGTGCACACCATGCTGTCGATGCATTGTCCCCAGGCTGCTTCTGAGCAGGGCTAGGTGGTGTGTGTGACAGAGGGCCCACCCCGGGGCCCTTTTTCCCAGTTCTGTCTTCTGTGTGGTAGCAGTTTCTTCAGTGTGGTTAAATCTTGGAGTTACAAGATGGGAAATGAACAGTGCAGGCAGATTGCGGGTCAGGCTGTGCTCCAGCCACTTGCTCTCTCCCTCTGGAGGTCAGATGCCGGGTACTAAAAGCGCTGTGTCACTGCCCTTTCATTGGCCCCGCCCGGTACACTCTGTTCCCTGGTGTTGTGGAGATCCTCTGCTGGTTGCGTTGCCTGATCCTGCAGCCCTGGGTGGGTTGTAGTCGTACCCAGCTCAGGCTGCTGTAACACTGATTGGGCAGCTGATAAACAGTGGAAACCTTGGTCTCTGTTCTGCCAGCTGGAAGTCGAAGATCAAGACACCAGCAGAGTCCGTGTGTGGCGAGGCCCTGCTTCCTTGCTTTCTCTCCAGGTGCCCATGTGGTAGTGGGGTGAGGCAGCCCTCTGAAGCCTCTGTTTTGGGGACACAGCCATTGTGTGCCCAGATCACATGCCCTGCCACCACACTGTAGTCTTCACTTGTGGTAGACGTGCGTGCATCAAGTCTGCTACCTGTCCCTGCCTTGGTTCCCTCCCATCACAGCACTCTGAGCACCCGGCTTCTGATATGGGTAGGAGTGGAAGTGGGTCTGAAACGTCCCGCGGAGGCTCGCTTGTCCCTGCTCGGTTCATCCTGACACAGTCCTGACCAGGACCACTCGTGGGTCCAGCCCGCTGGGGCTGTAGGCCTAAGAGCCTCTTGCAGGGTCAAGGTGCAGGTGTCCTGCAGTCTGCTCTGCAGCTGCTGGGCTGTGGTGTGGGAGATTCCAAAGCTGCCCTAGGCTCCTGAAGAAGCAGGCTCCTTTTGTGCAGTGTGCAGGGAGGTGGCATCGGCACCATCAGGGGACGGGAGGGCGTGCAGGACTCGCGTGGGTTGAGTGCTAGGCTCCGGCACCACAGGGTGTGGTTGAGGAGGCTGCGGCTGCCTCCTCCCTGACATCTGGCTGCCTGCTCTTGGCTCACAAGAGAGGAGTACGAAGTGTGTCTGTCACTGCCCTGCCTACGACCCCACAGTGCTATTGGGGTTCACCACCCTGTCTGGACAGACCCAAGGAGGGGGTCCAGGCACACAATGCTGGTGTCCATCAGGTCAGCCCGTCCACTCCCTCCAGCAGTGCTCTCCTGGAGTCCCTGGGATGCAGAAGAGGCCACTTTAATGTCATCAGGAGCAGTGACCTTTCTTAGTGTGAGTGACCAGTGTCCTCTGAGTGACCCAGCCCAGGTGTCAGATGCCAGTGAGGAGCCACATCTAAGATTCAACATTAGGTCAGAATTTATATGCTGCTATAGAGTGACACATGCATACACACATGTATGCACACACACCTATACAGAGGGACACAGGCATGCAGGAACCTAGAGGTTCACGCACTGTTACATGCATGCAACACACAGATGTGTACTCTACCTACACAGGTATCTACAGTTATGAGATGCACACACATGCACACAGATATGCATACCCACCACTACACACAGCTGTGCATGCACACAGACCTGTACATGCATCTGCACAGATCCATGCAAGCCCAGATGTGCACATACACACCTGGATGCACACATGCAGAAAAGCCACTTGTGTGACCTGGTCCCACTGTTCCATTTGACTTTTTTTTTTTTTTTTTTTTTTTTTTTTTTTTTTTTTTGCGGAACCGGGGATTGAACTCAGGCCCTTGCACTTGCCAGGCAAATGCTTATTCTACTGAGCCATCTCCCCGGCCCCTCCATT